GTTCAGCGTTTAGATTTAAATCGACTGTAAGAAGCGTCTCCCTTCAACCAAACTGTTTCCTGATGATTCTCTCTGAGCGATTCAGATTCTGAGCTGATGCTTTATCTGTAAACATGTTGATCTGTACGTTGCTAACATGTGTTCAGCTGCTGATGGAGAAATGACATAAATATGTTTTGAAGTTTGGTTTTTAGTTTGTGTCGAACCGACAACCACCAAGAAAGTCTGGATATGCCAGACTCCGATCACTTCAATCCTTGTATCGCATGACTCGAAGCTGCATAATTACACTAAATGAAAGAGCAAAAACAGCTTTGTTGCTCACTTTTTGTCACCTCCTTCCTTTATCCTGCTCTATTCCGATTACTTCCTAAATCGACTTTCAAATTCCAAAGCTAATCTGTCCATCGACCTAACAGTGTTACTTGGAGCACTTCATGTCTAAGCGGAGCCGTCACACATTATGGCAGATTTGTATTTAGCTAGTTAACATCTGCGACTGCCCCAGTAATGTTTGGACATAACGAAGTCAAGCTAGACCCCAGCTGCTACTCTTGGGATCACATGGCTGTACATGTGGCTCCTCACCTGTCCCAGCCCTCCTCTCCTCCCAGGACGTAGATCTTGCCGTCCACTACGGCAGCACCAGGACGGTAGCGCCGCTCCTTCATCGGGGCGCACATGGTCCACTGGTTGGTCTTGGGGTTGTAACACTCCACCTTATCCGTGTTCTCGGTCGAGGCGTGCCACCCGCCTGAAACCGGTCAAACAGAAATCAGTACATCTGTCCCTGGGTGACCACTGACAACGAGTGCCGTTGAGTTTGTTACCTATCACGTAGATCTTTCCTTTGAGCGTACAAGCAGCGGAGCCGGAGCGAGCGATCTGCATGGGGGCGACCTCCGTCCACACGGCAGTTTTCGGGTTGTACACCTGAGCGAGGTCCGTGCCGTCACCGTCCTCCAGAACAGCACCACCTGCCAACATGTACGATTCAAGTAACGGAATGACAACGCAGTGGATTTGAACTAAAACCTGCACGTTTCCTACCAGTAACGTAGAGCAGACCGTCCAGCGCCACCACGGCAGGACTCGTGACGGCCATCTTGACGGACTCGGTGAACTGCCAGGCGTTGCTGTAGGGGTTGTAGCACTCCACCGAGTCCAGGCGAGAGCGTCCCTCCCAGCCCCCCACAGCATAAACGAAGCCGTCCAGCATCACCAGGCCTGAAAGCAGAGCATGGAGTGAAGCGTGATGCTCCGTTAGCCTGAACTGCACCCTAACAACAGCTTTTCTTTCCTCTGTTGGTTTGCAGTTAAACTAATTAGGAGGTGATGCTAAAGTTTAAGGATTGTCAGCTACAAACAACCTGAAGATTAAAAAAAACAATACGAAAGGAGAGTAAACGACGGACCAATGATCAGCAATGTTTGCCGATTTTTCTGTTATCGGTGACGCTATTTTTATTAACCAATTACTGATCAATTAAACGCACTGCTTTAAGTCTGAAACTGCCTTGTTCTGTCTGGAGTCACTCTGTGGTCTCCGTCATGTCTCTCCAGCAGAGGAAACTCACAAACATTGTACAAGAAACACAAACCGCCAGCACAAACCAGGCAGCCACTGACTTCTGAGGCTGATGCACCTTTTCAGGTGTCGCAGCCCTGATAATTAAAGAATCCTAGTTATGATTACAGGTTCTCTGCCATCGCGTGCTGTTAAAATATACCATGTAACCTACAGTGGTTCCAGATATCAGTAATTGGTGTTGACTACCAATAATCTGCATTGATAACGGCCCTAAAAAAATCATAGAATAGAGCAGAACATCCTTCATTAGTCCCACAAGGGGAAATCTGCAAAGTCACAGCAAGAAAAACACAACTATAAATTAAAGATGTGCGGTATATACGCTATATAAATAAGAAGAACACAAGGACAGTGAGAACACAAATTTAAGAGTATTTGCATGAAGGAACTGCACATCCGTCAAACCCTGATGGAGAGTGTCAGCTGGAAGACTAGAGTTTGGGGAGCCAGAGTTAGCAACTAAGAAAAAATACCTCTTACAGTGGAGCGGTTTAATAAACGGGGTTGAAATGAAAGACACGGTTGGCAACATGAGGCAATGTGTGGTGACACAAGCCTTCAGTTCATGAAAAAAGAAGGGGTTGCCAATAGGGATCGACTGATTTTTTCACAACCGATACGAATTATTGGTGATCAAGAAAGACTGATAACCGATATTTGGAGCCGATACACTTTAAATGTAATGTTTTAGCAGCATGTGACAGCAGAGAACCAGTAAATATGCAAGATAGAAACAGGAGAAATCCAATCAGGACGCTCTGTTTCTGTTGGAGCGACTGAGATTGATCAGTTTTTCTCCTGATCAATCATCTTTCTCTGTTTTATCACTGTTATTGCCAAGTGAGGTCTTCAAGTGTTGCCAATTATCGTTTCCCAGATTCTGTTTCAGCTTAATCTGTGGCTGCCTGCTCACTTAGCCGCTAGCCGTTAGCCTTAGCCGCTGTGAGAGATGCTAACTTGGTGGTTCGAGGCGACGGCTTGTGTGTCTTGTTCAGTTTGTCTTCTTTTCCGTAATACTTCAGGTGTTGTATTTCCTCTCATTTATCGAGAATCGATCGATAAAGTCAATTGGAAAATGCCAAATTTCAGACAGTGGGTCCATCCCTGGTTGTCATGGTAACGCTGCCTCACCTAACTCCGAGCGAGCGACATTCATCGGAGCCATCTCCATCCAGGAGTCGAAGCAGGGGTCGTAGCGCCACATCTCCCTGCTGGCCGAGCCGTCGGGAAACTCCCCTCCGGCCAGATACAGAGTGGAATCTGCAGACAGGCGGGTGGACGAGAAGAAACATTTGCGGTTCAGCAGCGATCAGCGTCACATCCAGTCAGTTATCGGGAGGTGTGATGCGACCGAACCCCACCGGACACGACCAGCCCGTGTTTGCTGACGGCGAAGGGCAGGCAGGCCAGGTTCTTCCACTGGTTGGTCACCGGATCGAAGCTCTCGACGCTGCGCAGCACCACCTTGTCGTCCTCGCCGCCGACCGTCACGATCACTTCGGCTGTGCCTGTCGCCACGGCAACAGGAGCACAAGGAACAGAGAGGAGTGAGCCGGACGGACGTGAATCTAAACAGGCATCAAGGAGGGCTGACCGCTTTCATCGTTAATTAATCTGACTGGTTTTTCCATTAGCTAATTAGTCGGTGAGAAAAACACAACAAAAATGCAGCAGGAAGCAAAACATCTCACAACAAGTTTAAAAGATCCAGATGTGATGGTTTCATATTAAAACAGATCAAGAAAATCAGCAAATGTTCACTGTGGGTTTGTAGTTTTTGTTGTAATCAAAATCATCACATGTCAGTCGTCTGGTGATCGTCTACGAGAAGATGAGTTTTCATTAATCCCACAGTGGCGACATTTGGATTGTGACCACAGCAAAGGGAACACGTTTAAGGAACATCAGTAGAAGAGCAAAAAAAATAGACCAAGATATACACAAGTACTAGTTCTGGAACAGATTCTTTCATGACTATAAATGAAGAGTTCATTCATTAAAAACAGATCACTCCATCTTCACCAACCTTCAGAAAACCCACTTTTCCATCATCTACCTGAAACAACACCAATCAAACACCAGTTATCTCTGTTTTTGTCATTTCTGCTGAGTCAGATCCACTCAGCATCAGTCTGACTGACATCATCTCAAGCAAACAACAAAAAAAACTAGTTTTCTGAAACTCTACAAAAGTGAAGTTTTCCGGCCGTGACCCGGACTTATAGAGGGACAACACAGAAAAAAAACGTCTACATGAAACAACAACATACATTGATCAGTACTTACTTTAATCTTGAGGCAGTTTGTTGTTGTCCCTCTATAAGTCCTCTTCATGTGTAGACAACGGCCTTTGTCTTTCTCCCGCTTATTGAATCGAAAAAAATTCAAAAAACTTTATATGTCCCANAAAGAGAGAGACGCAGAAGGAAGCGAGAACAAAACTACATCCTCAATCAAAATAAAAGACAGAGTTATTTGTTTTCAAGTGACAATTTTTATTTTGAAGTCTATAATTTTTTGCTTGAGTTAATTTTATTCTCTCTTAAATCCATTAGTTATGTTTGACTTTTGATAAGTTTTGGTTAAAAATTTTGACACAAATCTAATCCCATACAAATACTGATAAGCGAGATTTTGCACAGATTTGTCCAGAAGTAGAAAAATAACGACACGGCACAGATTCTCGTATGTGCAGACAAATAGATTTTGTCCAAACTATTCCTGCTAATGTGAAGAGCACGGGTGGTGTGTGAGTGTAGGGACGCAACTCCAACGTAAAGAAACTAAATACTACTGAAAACCTGTGTGATCCAGCTTATTACCAAACTACAAACATCACGTGCACAAAAGCGAAAAAGCTGAAAACGAAGCACGAGATTCAGCCTCTCATTATAGTAACATGTAATAGCTGCAGGTGTGCTCACCTGTGGACCGGCGGGGCCTCGCTCTGGGGCAGTACAGCTCTCCACGGCGGTCCTTCAGCAGCAGGTAGTCCTTGGCCTCGGAGATGAGCCTCTGGCAGCCCAGGTTCTCCTTCACCACGTCCACAGACTCGATCACATCGTGGAGGAAGTAGGGGCTGATCAGAGGCAGGCGGATGTGTTCGAGGACCTTCGGGGAACGAGCAGAGAAATTGGATTAATTATACAGCTGGCCTTAGTCGTACCTCTCATGTTGGAGGATCTGAGAGCCACAGCTCAAGTCATTATCTGTGGAGGATTCCCCAAACGCATGGACGTCCTGGCAACATTTCTAGGATTCTGGGTATTATCTACTGATGCTAATGTAAAGCATAGATAGAGCTGCACAACAGAAGCCTGCACTAGAACTCGTCACGTGATGTGAACATGAATGAGAGCATGTGTGTGTCTGCAGCAGAAGGTCTGAAGAAACGACTGCAAACTGCCACGAATAACTACAAGAAACAAGCGTGACCTCAGAGAGGCGTCCTTTTACGTGTCTGTGCAGAGAGAAACTCATTCAGTCGCTGTGCTAGTTGATTTATGGACATCTTGAAGACCAGCAGCTGTTGAGTTGAGAATGCAGACACACTTTTCTCTGCGACAACAAATACACATGGACAGGAAAAGCCCGACCACACAGAGCGCTGAGCGCTACAGTCGGATGAAACTGTACAGGTTTAAAAGCTCATGTGAGCTAAAGTGAATCCGACCTTTTCAAAGCTCTGCTTGCGTGAGGGACATTTATTCAGCCACAACATGGCGGCTTCGAACACCATCTCCTCTTTGGGCACGTTGAGAAGGTCGCTGGCAATGATTTCTGTCAGTTTGTCCACACAGAGAGACAGGAACTCGTCCTGGGGGAAATAAAACCAACATGAGAAGTATTACAGCACTGAGTGTGAATGACAGCAGCTTCTCCTGCTTTCCAGACACACACATTATCCACGCGAGCTAATCGCCGCACCGGGAGGGCAGATTATCAGCGTTAAGCACCTTCCACACATGAAACCCACAACGCTGCCTGCTTCCAGGTGAGCTGCTGCTGACATGTGAGGAGGCAGATCTGCAGGAACAGTTTTTATACACTGTTAACTGCAGATCTCCTCATTCCAACCTGCAGCTGCTCTGAGCCAATCAAATGGACCAAAACTTCAAATACTGTAGATTGCTCTGGTTCAGGAAGTCAGTTTGGGCCAAACAACAATCAAAAGGTGCAACAAATCGCTAATTCGCTGAGTGAAAGGGAATTAATTTGCAAGAATTTATAGACATTAAATAATTAGTTTTAACTCATGAAGAAAATAACTGACAAAACAGAAAACAAGGATCTGCTGCAGCCCAATCACAGTAAATCTATGATAATGTCCATCCATCCATCATCTCTACACCTTAATCCTCACCAGGGTCGTGGGGGGGCGGAGCCTATCCCAGCCGACTCAGGGTGAAGGCAGGTTATTATGATGTCTGTTGGCTATTACTTTGGTAGTCGGAAATTCTTTAGACATTTACTTTATCAAATAAATATTGTTTGTTTACTAACTGGCCAATGGCTTCCTGTCATTCTGCAAAGCAAGTTAAACATCCCAACGACGTCACACTGATGAAACACATGAAATGTACCGTTTATCGCAGCACCTCTGCTTCTTTACCTGAGTGATGATGCCGTATTTTTACTATTAAAGGGAAGTTTTGGTCACTGATTTTGAAGAAACTGCACCGTCATAATGGGGACAGTTTAAAGTCTACCTCAGTTTGTCAGCTATTTATTTCATTAGTTTGGCACTAAACTCGTGTTTCATCAGTTTTTTGTCAACAATCAAAGGTGCAAAACTGCTTGTGTGTTGCACCTGGAGCAGCAAACTGAACACAGTCGTAACACCCGACCTGCTGGTAAACGCTGCTGAAGTGCTCCAGGATGTAGTCCATGCTGCGCTTCTCCAGCACCTTACAGGAGTGAGCCTCGGCGAAGCAGTGGATCCCCACGCAGTTCATCTCGTCCATCTGACGCTCCATGAAGCGACAGCACGCCTCTCGGACGGCCATCACGTCCAGCAGGTTGGCTGCTGCCAGCAGCGCCTGGACCACACAAAATCACAGCTGACCCACAAAATGACGGCGGGGAGGAGAAGGTGTGAGGAGACGAGAGGATTCTGTACCTGCACGTTCGCTTTGGAAATGTAGACCTCGGACGTGTAGGCGTAGCTCACCAGCATGCCAATCATCTGAGGCTCAACTCCATTGATGGCAACACGCTCCTGTTTGGACTCGATCAGGTCCGTGGAGAACATCGCCTGGAGAAACATGGAGGTTCACATGATTCTCTCACATACAGCCGTAGTCAAATTTATCCTTTAATTGAAGAAAAGGCAAAACTCACAACAGTCACTCAAATAACTAGAAATAAAAAAAGAAATAATAAATAAAAAATTTGTTAAATTATAATTTAGTGAAATAAGACGTTGCTTTTGAATTGTGGTTGAAGAGATCATTTTAAAAAACAGAATTGTCCTGGACCAATGAGAGGCCTTTGCTGATGAGCAGCGGACCAATGAGAGGCCTTTGCTGATGAGCAGTGGACCAATGAGAGGCCTTTGCTGATGAGCAGTGGACCAATGAGAGGCCTTTGCTGATGAGCAGTGGTCCAGAATACCTGTCAACAGGTGCAGAAGTCTGACTGAGAGCTACAGGAAACACCTGAAGGCAGTGATTGGCTCCGAGGGTTGTTCAACTACATATTAGTTTATGGGTCCCATCAGGCTGGTTTGCTTTGGGGTTTTTTTTGTTTGTTTTTTTGTTTGGTTGAATATTTCAGTTGAACCACAACTCAAAGCAACATCATGATGTTCTTTACATTTTTATTTATTGGTGTTTTTGTCAATTTCAACGGATTCCAGTGACTGAAGCTGTTGTTTTCCTTCTTTAATGGGAGGCTGTGAACACATGTGAGGACGGCTGCACATCAGCATGAACCTGGGGTCTGTTCCATAAAACACGCTCGAGAAGAGCGGACGAAAGACCAAAATGAATCAGTCCAGGCTAAAACAGCTGCTTTAAAGGTCAATTCAGGTTCAAGCAATCAGGCTAATTTAATACAAGTTTGACAAGTCGATCTTCTTAAAGATGAAATCGATCCACGATGGAAAACAGAAGCTTCACAGAATGTGAAGATGTCCACCAAGCAGTGCTTATAATAGAAACTAATCATCTGATAACGAGTAAAGCAGCTGCCACGAGCTCAGCCAGACAGACAGATGAGCGACTGAACGAAAGCAGCAGCTGAGTTGAAATGTTTCCACGATTAAATCCAAGGAGAGAATAACAAGAACAAATAATAAAAGCTGGGAATTCTTTGAAGGTTTTCTGAAACATGAACAGATATTTCAGTCATGCAGTTTGTATCTTCATCATCGTGGATCATGTGTAAATCTAATAATTCTACCTTTTAGTTCAGTGTCCTCCTTACATCTTATTGCTTTTTCTATATTTACTGCCTTTTTTTGGTGTTTTCTAACCATCTGGCACAAGAACTTCCTTCAGGATCAATAAAATTTTGTCAAAATTTAAACAAAAACAGGCTTCAACTGTAATTAGTCCAGAATATCTACAAAGTTCACATTACTGGATAACTGATGGAAAATAGTGAAGATAATTTGCTGCCTTATTTAGCTTGTTTGTTGTATTTCAGTCATAACGTTTGCATCTGATTGATTTTCTACGTTGGAGTCACTGCGTCTTCTTTTGAGCATCTGGCACAAGAACATGTCACATTTTCACTTTTTTTGAATATCTGATGGAAAATTAAAACCAAAAAGGCTTGAAATACAATTAAATGTTCACGTTGTTGAGCATCTGACAGAAAACATTAACTTTCTACAATCATCCAAATTAAAACAGAAAAAAGCTTGAAATAGTCGCACAGTTTCACTTTTCTTGAGCATCTAAAGGAGAAAATTGAACTTTTTCTAACTTTCCATAACTTTCCCTGTTAATCAAAATGAAAACAAAAAGGGACTGAACATTAGTAAATAGTGACTTTACAGAACATCTGATGGAGAATATTGAACTTTTTTAGGGATTTTCAATTCAGTTCAATTCAATTTTATTTGTCGAGCGCATATTTACAACAACAGGTCGTCTCACAGCCAAAGGCAGAAACACCCAACAATCCAAAACCCCCGCAGGGCTCAGGGAGGCTCAGGGAGACTCAGCCTTCTGCTTTCTGACTTTCTTTTGGCCAAATTGATCAAAACTAAAACACAAAAACATTGAAATATTCTCCAATGTTCACTTTTTAGGGTATGTGATGGAGAATGCTGAATTTTTTGTGTGTGTGTTTTCTGGACTTTCTAATTCTATTCTATTTAAAAGAAAACAAAGAAGGGTTGGAGTATTATTAAATGGTCGATTGGGTTTTTTTTCTGAGTATCTGATGTAGAATTCTGAACTTTTCAAATGATTTTCTGACTTTCTCAAAGCCATATTGATCAAAGTAAAAACAAAAAAAGGATTCAAATATCATTAAATGTGGACTCTTCAAAGTATCTGATAGAGAATA